CAGTGCCAGGGGGTTGTGTGCAGGTGTGAGTGCCAGAGGGGTGTGTAAGGTGGGAGTACACAGTGCCAGGGGGTTGTAAGTGCACGAGGGGTCCTGCTCCTCACCCGCCTCGGCTTCCCCTGGCATGGTGGAAGCCGCAGGTTCTCCTGGTTGTGTGGCACACCTGCAGCAGCACCTCCCGCATCCCACCCTCTGGATTTTGGAAGCCTGGCTGTCCCGAGCGGGCCGTGGGCTGGCCACTGGCCCGGCACTCTGGGATTTGTGGGAGCTGGCTGGGCCCGCCGAGCAAACCCTGTGCCGGGGAACTCCCGCGTGTCCAGCGCCGGGGTTTTGATTACTATGATGTTTATTCTTTTCCGGGCTGGGTCAGTCCCTGCCAAGGGAGGAGGGGACAGAGTCGAGTCCAGCTTCCTACTCTGGGCTTGCTCTTCCAGGGCTGTTTTGCCAAGCAAGTGGCTTCTGGCTCGTGCGTCGCTCCCGGTTCTCTCTGGGCTCTCAGTGTTGGAGGCGAGGGGGTCACGGAACCCAAAATCCCGCTGGGAAGCGGCGTGGAGGCGGGCGGGGAGGTGTTTACATGTGGCTTTGCCAGGTAAAGCCTCTCGGGCGGGGAAAACCTGCCCACGTGTCCAGCATTCTCCTCTCCTGATTAATTCCCCTTAGCTGGGAGAAACCTTTTGACTTCCACCGGGTGAAACCAGGGCAAGGTGTGGGGGGGGAGGACAAACACCAAGTCCCAGCTTTCTGGGATCAAAACACCGTCTTTTTTTGTCGGCGGTGTTTTTGCTTCCTCCCGGCTCCGGGCTGTGGTTACGGGCTGCGGAGGCCTTGCTGGAACGTGCCCTTAGGAAAGATTTTGGGACATTACTGCAGTAATTACAGCTTAATGCAGTTTCACAACCTCACGTTGGCACGGCCGGGGCGAGGATGCTCCTGGAGTTCCACAGCTTCAGGTTCTTTTTCCCGGGAAGCGATGGATGTTTTCCCTGGTTTTTTTGTTGTTTGTTTTTTTTTTCTTCCCAAGTTCCTGCATTCTCATCAGCTGTTTTAGTGGAGCCTGTGCTCTCTTAGTGTTGCCAGGGGCATCATCCTAAACAACTATAAGCAAATGGAAAATTCTTGGCGCTGCTTGACCGGGACCCTTGGATGTTCCCAAACGCGATTAAACTGGGAATGTGTAGGTGTGGAGCTGTTTTATCCCTGTCTGGGACCACAGCTCCCAGGCTGTGACTTCCCACGCAGCTCTCCCTGAGAGATATCCCTGGCTTTGCCCTGCACACCTCTCCCTCAGTCCCTTTGCCTTGGCAGTGTCCTGCCGGATGCGTGCCGTTAGGTTTTCCGCATGGAAGTGGGTCAGTCCCTCGGGAAGGAAGCAAAGGGTATATTTTTGTTGTGCTTTTATGTACTGATTTTATCTGTGCTGAGCAGAGGCTGTGAGGTGGAGAGTTTCTCTCAGAAGCTCAAGTAAGTGGCCTTTAATAATAACAATAATAATAATAATAAACAGGCGCTTCCTGCGAGCAGGAGCGACGGATGCTCCCAGCCTCTCCCGTGGGCAGCAGGGAATTGCTCCAAGGCTGCTCCAGCTCGTGCTCTGCCCCAAAACTCCCTCTTCTAAACCTCGTAGAAAACCTTCCCCAAAGTTTTTGGTGGGGGCACAAAAAAAAAAAAGGTGAAGGCAGCCCTTGGGAATGCCGGGATGCCTCGTGTTGTGTGAGGAAGAGTCCTTGGTGCGGAGGTGGTGGATGCCTCCAAAGACTTTTTTTTTTTTTTATTATTTTGGAAATGAGACAGCGAGGGGAGATTCTGGGATGGGAGGGAGGAAGGGTTGTGTTATTGGCTTGGCATGTCCAGGAAGATGCTTTTGGGGATGGGTAGGAGAGGAGCAGGGATGAGTCGATTTGGTTGTGCCAGGGGAGGTACAGGGGGAAAAGGATGATGATCCTGCTTTTTGGGGATGAGGTTGGGAGCGTTGGTGGGTGCCCTACTGGGAGCATAAATCACCCAAAGACAAGAAACTCACCTTTTGGGGGGGGGTTGGGAGACTCTTTGCCTGATGTTTTGTGTCCTTCCGTTGGGTTTTCCATCTGCGTGGCTTTTGGGAATGTGTTTGGAGCAAGTGCTCTGTAAATGGGCTGCTCTGATCCTGATGATTTTCCCGTGGGAAGAGAAGCATCACGAACCTCTTGTTGCCCACTAAGGAGATCCCCCCCCCGTGGAAATAGGTGGATTTAAAGGGAAAACCTCGGGAAGCTGGTGGGGGTGTCCGGTGGAGCTGCTGCTGCCATTTCCTCGGAGGAGGTTTTCTCTGGGGGGGTTGGATAACTAAACCCGGGGCTTGAAGGTGCAATTTGGGGTTGTTTGTTGGTTTTTTTTTTTTTGCCCTTCTGAGCCGGTGCCGGAGCATCCCATGGGTTGGAGTGAGACGTGATGGCCTCCGGGTTTGTCCCTGTCCCCGGGGCGGCCGTGTCGCCCTCGGTGTGTCGCGGTATGACTGTGCCACCCCCCAACCCCCCCCCGCCCCCGAAAGCACCTCTGACTGGTTTGGGGACCAGTTATGACTGGACCCTTTTGACGCAGCGCCACAGAAAGTCCTTTCTGAAAACCTCAGCCCGATTTCGCTCTCAGCCACCAACCCCAGGCTTCGCCTCTCGGGGCGGATGAGCTCGTGGGCGCTTTGCTGGGGCGGGGGGGGGGGGGGGAAGGGTGGGGAAGGGGGGGGGGGGGAAAGGATGGAGAGGGAGCAGACCCTCTGCCCCGCGTGGTTTTCCCTGGATCCCCGTATCTCCCGGCATCTTTTTGTCCCGTGTCTGCCCGTGGTGTTTTTGTTTCCCTTGCTGGGCCGGCTCTGCTGACGGCGGTGGGATTTCGGATGGTCGCTCCGCCCCGGCCGGAATCCCTGTTTGCCTTCCCGGAGAGATCCAGAGGCTGGAATATCGCGAGGGCTGTGTTTCATTCAGCGGCGAGGAGCAGCAGTGCTGCGGGGCCGTCCCTGGGCAGGCGGCGGGTGCTACTCCTGCGCTACTACAGCGTGAAAACAAAACACGTCCCCGAGCCAAGCGGCGCTGCCTTGGCTCCCAGAGACATTTTCCAGTCAGGTCGGAGCCAGGCTTTTTATTTAATTTTTTTTTTTTTTTTTTTTTTTTTTTTACTGCCCCGCTAATCCTTTGAATATTCACAGATTGGAAGCTGTTCCCCTTTTCCCTTGTGATTCCTCCGAAGCTGTCGTGCCAAAACGCTGTTTTGTTTTGTGCAGTGGAGCGTTTTGTTTTGTTTTGTTTTTTTATTGTGTGGTGTTGTTTTATTTTTATTTTGTTTATTTTCTTTTTAGGTTTTTTGTGGGGTTTTTTTGTATTATTATTTTCCTTAAGGCTGTGATTCCTGCGAGGATCCTGCACTTGGGCTTGCAGGAGGGGGGATGAGGTGGTGCCAGTACCGTATGTGGTCCTACCTCCTTTTTTCCCCTGGCTGTTTGAGGGATTTATCATGTGTTTAATAACTTCTTAAGATGGAGACTGAAATAATTAACTATCACACAGTATAGTTAATACATTAACTCTTTTTCCACTTACAAGCCAGCACTTGGTTTCGCTGGGAATGTGGTTTCTCCACACGCAAATCCAACTGTGGCTTTCTCCTCCTTGTGACAAACCCTTTTCCTTTCCTTCTTGGGCACTTGGGGATGACTGGGGGCAGAAATGTGATAATTGGCTGAAACTATCCAGACAGAGGGTTTTTAAGGTTAGGGGAAGGAGTTGCTGCCGTGCCTGCAAGGAAAGAAAATTGTTGAGAAAGGAGGGGGGGAAGAGGAGGTTTGGCGAGGGAAGGAAACAGGAGAGTGGCATCCTGGCTTTTCTCCCTGTTCAGGAGGGGACCAAAGCTTGGAGGTGCTCCCAGGGAAAGCGTAGATTAATGAATAAATAAATAAATGCATGCATAATAATAATAATAATAATAATAATAATGATAAGGAATAAAAACCTGGCTTGTGACGACAAGTCCCGTTTGTGCCGCGGAACATCTGGCGCCTGGATGTAAGAATCAAGGCACAGCCATAATAAAAAGCAGCAATAAAATGGCAAGGTTGGATGGACTGCTGTGAAGTTTTGTTGTTCCTCCCTTCCCAACGCTCCCGTTTTTCCCCCTGCAGCTTCCCGGTGGCACTCGGTGGCCGAGGACGTGCAGCCCGAGGTCTGGATCGCGCAGGAGCTGCGGCGCATCGGGGACGAGTTCAATGCCTCCTATTGTCCACGAAGGGTAACTTTCCCCTCTCTCTCTCTCTTTCTCTCTACTTTCCATTTCTTTTTACGCGTTTCTCTCTGAAAGGGAAAAGCTTAATCATCTCTGGAAACTGCTGCGGTGAGTGCCGGGTGCACTCAGATGGAGAAAGGGCTGCGCGGGTGGCGGTGTCGGCCCGGCGTCTGCGGCTGCCACGGTGTCGAATCAATCAGAAATAACCTTCAGGTTGAGGCTGGAGGCCTTTTGGGGGGAGAAGTTGGCAGGAGCTTTTCGGGGCCGGTGTTGGTGGCTCGGGCCCGGACCTGATGGTAGCGAGGAACAGGCTTCTAAGGGTTAGACAGGGAAAGTTTGGGGGTGTCAGCGTCAGGCACTGTTGCTTTCAGGGAGTGAGCGCAGTGGGATTCTAATCCCAGCTCCCAAATCCCTGCTGCTGCTGCTGCTGCCTGGGGAAGCTGCAAAGAGGAAACTTTGCGGTCCGATAACTTATTTTTCCTGCAAAGACTCTGTTTTGAAAGACGGGTGTTTATAAGACCATAAACCGGCTCACCTTGGAGTGTTGCAACAGCAATCGATGCGCTAATGCCAAAAGAAAAAAGCAGGGACCCAACCCCAAACCAACCCAGCCCGAGGGGTGAAGCAACAGGAGTTTGCAGAGGAGCCTCGCCGGCGGTGACTCCGAGTATTCCCGACGGCTGCGTGTCCGTGCTTGTGGTTCCTGGTCCCTGGATCTGTGGGAAGAGGAGCCGGGAGCGCGGTTTGGGAGCAGTGTTGGTGACGGAATGCCGGCTGCCTGGATCCTTATCCGTCCTCCCCATCTCCTGAGTCACTCTCGCAGCGTTTCCTCACCGCTCCCGGGGTCCGGAGGGTTGGATTTCCCCCAAAAGGGGGGTACAGCTGCCACGATCCAGCTTTCTGCATCGTCTCCATCTGCTCCATTCTCCTTCCAAACGCTCTGGCTCTTCAGACCTGCAACAAACTGTGATGAGCTGTGCTTTATCCTGAATCCAGAATGTGCATCTTCTGACCTTCCCCCCCCCCCCCCCGGCTCCAGGCTTATCCCTGGAGAAGCCACTTTTTGGGTTGAAAGAACATCTTTCCAAGGAAAGGGAGGGACCAGGCTGTTCAGGAAGCTGGAGGCACCCGGTAGCAGTCAGCTGATCCGGAAGAGCTGGTGGAAATGTGGAAAGCCCTGCCATATCATGGAATACCCTCAGCTGTGAGGGATCCACAAGGATCAAGGAGTCCAACTCCTGTCCCTGCCCAGGACACCCCAGCAATCCCACCATGTGCCTGAGACCATTGTCCAAACACTCCTTGAGCTCTACCAGCCTTGAGGCCGTGACCACTGCCCTGGGGACCCTGTGCCAGCGCCCAGCCACCCTCATCCCTTCTCCCATCTCCCTCCTGCCTCCCAGAGCAGTGCCTTAAATTTGGCAAACCTCGTGTGAACGGGTTTGTGAGGAACAGGAGCACCTCGTGTGAACGGGTTTGTGAGGAACAGGAGCACCTCGTGTGAACGGGTTTGTGAGGAACAGGAGCATCCTGCCCGTGTTATCCCGTGGGGACCAGCCCCCTCGCTGCTGGAAATGCGCTCCAGGCATATCCCAAGATTCCAGCCCCCTACCCCCAGGGAGAGAGGCGGAACACCAAGGACATGTCCTGCTCGCTCCATGGCACGAGCAGAGGATGACCCTACAAACACTCTGGACCTGCCTTAGTCAGCATCTCCCCACTTCTCCCTCATCGCACCCAAAACCGGGGAGGTTTCAGAGCCTTTCAGCGGCGGCTGCGGAATTATCCCCCCCCCGAGGCGCGGAGCTGTTGCCTCGTGGGGAAGGTGTCTCTTCCTCCTGGAAGTGTTCCAGCCGCTCCCGGAGCCCCCTGGGGCGGGAGGGGAAGGTGGGAACAGCTCGTGCCCGCCGGGCCCCACCCGGCTGGGCTCTGCCCTTGGAGGCTGAGGTTAGAAATGGGGAACTGGGGGCCGTGCCAGAGCGGCACTCGCCGGGCAGGTCGGGGCTGTCGGACGGGTCGGGGCCTCGCGTTCCCCCTTCACGTTCCCCCGTCACGTTCCCCGTCCGTGCGTCACCCGCGGGGATCAGCTCGGGAGAGGCGGCGGGAAATCGGGCAGCTCCTCACCCCGGCCCCTCTGTGCCTCACACAGCTTGTGCTCCAGCGGCCACCAGACCAAGGCTTCTGCTGGCAGAGGGTGGGAAATTAAGGAACCGCACAATCCCTGAGGTTGGAAAAGCTCTCCCAGCCCATGGAGCCCACTCTGTGCCCCATCCCCACCTTATCCCCCAACCCATGTCCAGAACTTCCTTGGACGCCTCCAGGGATGGGGACTCCACTGCCTCCCTGGCAGCCCCTTCCCATCTTTAACAATCCTTTCCGTGAGGGAATTCTTCTGGATGTCCACCCCGAATGCCTTGTTTCGACTCCCTTGGCAGCCTCTTCCCATCTTTAACAATCCTTTCCGTGAGGGAATTCTTCTGGATGTCCACCCCGAATGCCTTTTTTCAACTCCCTTGGCATTCCCCCATCTCCCATCTTTAACAATCCTTTCCAGGAAGGAATTCTTCTGGATGTCCACCCTGAATGCCTTGTTTCAACTCCCTTGGCATTCCCCCATCTCTCATCTTTAACATTCCTTTCCGTGAGGGAATTCTTCAGGATGTCCACCCTGAATGCCTTGTTTCAACTCCCTTGGCAGCCCCTTCCCATCTTTAACAATCCTTCCCAGTAAGGAATTCTTCTGGATGTCCACCCTCAGTGCCTTGTTTCAGCTCCCTGATTATTCCTCTACCTCTTTATTCAGCAGAACCTAATTTTGGCATTTCTCTTCCATCATTTAAGCCTGATGGGGTTTTTGTTTGGTTTTTTTCCTTGCTCTCCATAATATTGAGGGTTGGGCAGTGTGGTGGGCTTAGCCTTAGGCTGGTGGGGGAGGACCTGCTTTTCTCCCTTCTTAGGGGGATTTTCATTTCATTTTGAATATTTTCCCTCTACCCTGTGGTTTTAACCCTCCCTAAATGTCCTAACAGGGCTCCTTTGGGGTGTTTCAAACCTCCTGGCAACGTTGCACGGCTCCCATGCCCACATGCATGTGACACCATGGCGGTGCCGCTCAATCCCAAAATCCACATTTGTGGTTGGGAGAGGGCAGCTTTGACCCTTTGGTCAAAGGCAGGAGGGTTAAAACACGAAAGGGTTTATCCTCATTCTTTGCCAAACGCTTGATTTTGCACCTCCGGAATATCTTCCAGGTGTTTGTAACACAGGGCCTTCCTGCTGGAAATCAAACTCACTGGTTTTTTTGGTTTTTCTCTTTTTTTTTTTTTTTTTTTTTTGTTGTTCTTTTTCCTCCTCCCTTCCTCTCTGTTTCAGGGTTTCTGGGATCACCAGGTGGGAAACCCCCAGGTCGTCATCCTGCGCCTGCTGCGTTACATCGTCCGCCTCATCTGGAGGCTGCAGTGAGCGCCCGGCGCACCCCGGGAGGCTCCAGGACTTGTTTCCTCGCTGGGAAAGCCCGGGAAGGACTGGACAGATGGATGGATGTGGGACTCCCACCCTGCTTCTCCCCCAGGACACGTGGCAGGACGAGGGTGTTCATCCCACGCCGACCTGCCGGGCTCCGGTGCAGTGTTTTTATCCCAGAGTGGTGTTTACTTAGTGTTTCAACTTTTATCACTTTTTTTTTTTTTTTTAATCATCTTTTTTTTTGGTTTTTTTGTCCCAAAAGAGTCTCAGTGAAAACGTGGGATAATTTGTTGTCATCGTTCCTGGAATCCTCTGGGAAACCTGAGCCAGCTGATGGGCGAGAGACTGGGATTCCTCCCCTCTCCCTTTGCCTCCAGGGCATTTGCCCGACAAAAAAAGGCTGGAAGAAGGGCAGAGGGCTTTAAATCAGCACTTCTTTTACCTGTAAATACCTAATGCTACCCCAGATCCACCTTCATTTGCATCATGCAAATCGCCTATTTCCTGCTGACTGATGATTTTTTTTTTTTTGTAGTTTTTATATCTCTTTTTTTTTTTTTTTATACACTCTGAATTTTTCTCAAGACTTCGCTGTCGAACTCCAGGGTCCAAACCATCACAAACCAACCAACCAACAAACCCCGATCCACCAGGTTGCCTTTTTTTTTTTTTTTTTTCATAGAAAGTCTTTCTTATAAAAAGTGTGAAAACGCTTCTTTTGTATAATATATAATATAGAAATGGGGGGGGGGGGACACGACTGAGGAATTCAGCAATAAAACATCCCCGGAGGCAGGAGGAGCAACTCCCAGGACCCACCACCGTGGCGGAGTTGTTGTCAAAGCTCACAGGAGGGGTTTTTCCAAGGTGCTGGACCGTGTCTTCCTGGGATCCTCTCCGTGTTGGCACAGAGGGATGATGAGCGGGCGCCGTGAAGCCCCCACCCTGGATGCAGCTGGAAGGAGCCAGCCTGGCATGGATCCACTGCAGGACTTGCCACGGTGGGGGGTCTGTCCCCACCTCGCAGGGAATGATCTCCCCTTCCACCCGGACGTGCCACGGCCATGGAAGACCCAGGTGTGTGTGTCCCGTTGCCTCCGGTGGACCTCGGATGTTTTTGGGGGAAGTGGCTGCTCCGGCCACCCCATATCTATGCACAACCCTCCCCACCTCGTGCCCCTTCCCCTCTGGAGGGTGCAGGTGGTCCCACCCCCCCCCTCACGCCCCGACGCCGTGGGGGGCCATTTTGGTCTCACCGGTTTTCGCCGGCGCCATAGGAAAAAGAAAAAAAAAAAAAAAAAGGAAAGGAAAAAAAAGAAAAGGAAGGAAAACCCAATCCCAAGCTCCCCCAAGAGCGGTTGGGCCCACAGGGAGCAGCTGCTGAGTGCCATGGATGATGGTTATGGATGGGGTGCAGTGGGACCTGCCCCTGTGCTCCTGGAGAGTCACGGAGCGAGTTTTAACCTCGATTCCCAATTTTATTCCCTTTTTTTTTTTTTTTTTTTAAGGCGGGCGTCGGTCGCAGGAGCAGGGAATGTTTTAGGAAGGGGTTTTTTTTTTGGAGAGGGTGTGTGAGGGGGAACCTTTGCACTGGTGGAGAGCGAGGGGTTCGATAACCGGTGAGCTGGGCCGGAGGCAGATCCTGCTCCTCATCCCATGGGATTTTGGCTCTGGCTCTGGCTCATGATTTCCCACGGGAACCAACGTGGAATTCCATGGCTGCTGGTAAAATTAAATAAGTGAAATTCAGCAGCAGAGTGGGGGGGGAAAACCAAGTGAGACTTTTCTCCCAGTTGAGTTTCATCGTTGCTGGTGGACGAAATGGTGCTTTGGGGTCTCCCAGCCTTATGGAATCCTGGAATGTGTCCCTTGGAATACACCAAAGAATCACCGAGCACTTTACCCCCTCCTCCCATGGAGACAAAAAAAAAATAGGTTCGTTTTAAGGAAAAAAAAAAAAAATTCCAAACATTGGCAAAGTCTCCCAGGGACTTCTCCACAGGAGGAATTCCCAGCCAAAAGGCATAGGAAAATTAACCCCCAAAAAGCAGGTTTAGGGGGAACTCCCTCCCCTACCCCCCTGAAAAGCCTCAAACCAGAAGAATGATGTTATAAAATAGGGATTATGCCCGTTTAGCCATGTTGGCTCTGGGCTGTTTTAAGCATAACCTGTGCTCTGTGTTGCACCAAAAGGATGTGATGAAGAGTTTTCCTTGGATGTGGGGAAACCAGATTTATTCCCGGATTTATTCCCGGTCCCGCTTCTCCTCTTTTCCCCCCAACTGTAAATACCCAAATATTTATTAGAGTAGGGCACCGTATTTTCATCATCTGAGCCAAATATCTGTGTGCAATGTACTCCCTCTCCTTTCTCTCCTGTAAGTTTTGTACAGCTTATAAATACATTAAAAAAAAAAAAAATTATTAAAAAAACCCTGTTTTTTTTTTTCCTAAACTTTTTTTTTAGAGTTGAACTTTGTTTAAAATACTGTGGGGCTTTTTTTTTTTTTTTTTTAAATTTTCCGTGTAATTAATGCACTCTACTGTTTAATGCTGTAACTTGTAGAAACATTGTATATTTATTTTCTGCTTATTTAAGTTCCTGTGAAGATTTGGTTTCCCCCTTTGTCTCTCTCTCTCTCTCTCTCTCTCTCTCTCTCTCTCCTCTCCCTGCCATAAGTGTTGGATCACCTTCCAAAAGCCATCGTGGGGGTGGATTAACGAATCCTTTTGCTCCAAGTGCCTAAGTCCCCGCTCCCCAGGATTTAGGCACAGTCAAAGACTTCAGCATTAGCGAAAAAATCCAGTGGGAATTTGGCTTCTCCCGCCCCTGGGACTGTTCAATCCGGGTTTTCCTCCACCTGGGAGCAGCCATCCCGTGAGGTCACTCTAAAGTCGTGGCGCAGGACCCAGCGGATGTAGCATTTTTGACTGCAATTTCCCTGCCCTTCCTTTGTGTTTTGCACTGATGAATTTTGGACAGGGTAATTGCCACTTTTTTTTACTTGTGCAATACTGCTGTAAATAATCGCAGATCCTTTTTTTTTGGTTGTTTTGGTTTTTTCTTTTTTGGGGGGGTGGGTGGGTTTGTTTTTGTTGGTTTTTCCAGATGCGATCTTTTATGTTCTTTAATATGAGTTTTATATGAATAAAAACTTTCAACTATTTGTCATGAGTGTTGGGGGTTTTTTTTGGGGGGGGAGGGAGTTGAGGAGCACCTGGCAAGGGTTGGGAAGGGGATATTTGTTCTTTATCTCCCTGTTTATCACCAATTCTCCCCACTTTTCACCCATTCTCCCCAAGATTTCCCCCAGGCCTGATGTTTCCCTTCCCAGGAGCCCAAAATGCAGCTGTTGAACAACACATCTTTGTAAAGTGTTGCCTCGAGTGTTCCCAAGCCCAAAAACTGCCCCTTCTGGGAATGCTTTGGGGTTTCCTTGGAATTTTTTTGCTTTTCCCCACATTCACGGCCTCAAACCCAACTGCTGGGCACCTCCCATGCACTCCTTGTCCCCAGTTGGTTTTCATGGGTATTGACAAAGTTTGGGGGTTTATTTTATTATTTTTGCTTTGGTTTGTTACTATTTTATTATTTAATGCTTTTTATTATTTAGTGCTGTTATTACCAGGATTTTGATATTTTTTTTTATGCAACGTTACCGTGTGATTTTCTCCCTTTATTATTTCACATGGTTATTTTTTATTTTATCATTTTAAAGCTGAAGCAAAATCCTCCTAAAAATTCCCATCCCATTCTCCTGCTGCCTTGACCTTCCATCCTATTTTTAACTCCCCTCCAGCTCTTCTTACTCCTCCATGCCCTGGCACCCACCACCTGAAGGGGATTTAAAAACACCCCCCCCCCAAGTCCTACTTGATAAACAACCTAAAAAAATTCTGGATTTTTTTTTTTTTTTGTTCTTGAGTGTGTTTCAAATTACAGAAGTTCCTGAAAGGGAAGTTTATTGGTTTCAGGTGCTATTTTGGGGGCTTCTTTAACTCAAAAAAAAAAACAAACGAGGGTTGTATTGCCCCAGCCAAGGCTGTGGCAGCTGCTGGTCCCGTGGCTCTTCGGTCCCCATGGAATTTGGGAGCCTGTGGGTTGTCACACCTGGGATATGACCCCATTGTGACTTTTACTGGAAGGAGCTCAGGAATATTGGAAGGAGCTCATGACCTGCCCGAACCTGGTGAGCCTGGGAAGAGGAACAAAGGAGAGATCCCCACCAGGGGAACCAAGGAGAGATTCCCACCAAGGGGAACCAAGGAGAGATTCCCACCAGATTCCTTCTGGGCATGTGCTTGGCCACGGCCAGGTCTAGGTTGACTGTGGTCGTGTCCAAGGTGGTCATGGCCCAGTGGAAGGTTGTCATGGCCCAGGGTGGTCATGGCCAAGTGGAAGGTTGTCACGGCCCAGGGTGGTCAGGGACAAGTGGAAGGTTGTCATATCCAAGGTGGTCATGGCCAAGTGGAAGGTTGTCATGGCCCAGGCTGGTCATGTCCAAGGTGGTCATGGCCAAGTGGAAGTTGGTCACGGCCTAGAATGGTCATGACCCAGTGGAAGGTTGTCATGGCCCAGGGTGGTCGTGGCCAAGTGGAAGGTGGCCATGGCCCAGGCTGGCCACCATCTCCCTTGGCCATGGCCAAGCCCAAGGTGGTCACGGCCCAGGGCCACCACACACCCCCCGCCCGGCTCCTCCCCAAGAGCCCTTCCTGTGCCCTCAGATTTTTCCTTTGGCAACTACTAAAAAACCCGCTTTGTCTTAAGGATGCCAAACTTCCTTTATTCCTTGAAAAGGTGAACACCCCCCCACACACACACACCCCCTGCCCTGAATTTTATTCATGGAAAAAGCCACAACACCCCGTGTCCGTTGGCCGCTTTGAGGACACACAAGGTGCCAGGCCGGGATGTTCCCACATCCCTCAGCCCCTGCTGGCCTCAGGAATGCCGAGCAGCCAAAGCCTGGGATGAGGTGGTGGCCAACCGGTGCCACGGGAGCGACCCCTGGGCACTGCCAGGCCCTCACCATCCACGTATCTAGAGATATATGTTTATTTTTTTTTCCAATGACTCGCCGCTGACCTTTCAAACACCTGTTCAAGCCCTAAACAGCTAAAAATACCCCCCGAGCTTTGCATTTGATTTTCATATTGCAACAAAGCTCACTGTTTCCAGTGGGGTTTTCTCGTGTTTCTGGAGGGGGCTTGGATGGGCCAAACCCACGTGGAGACAGGGATGGGAAGCAGCTGGATACCAGGAGGCCCCTAAAAGCAGTAAAGGAACGTTATAGATGCTCTAACAGGGCTTTTATGTGGTGTAAGACAAGCCCAAGGATGGTTGGAACATGAGGGCCTTCCTAGTGCCCTTCCTGAGCATCCCAAGCCTATTCTGGCTCCTTTTCTGTGGAGTTTTAAAAAAAATCAAGACCTCCATCCCCAGGGAAGGAAGGCAACGGGTTATCCCTGGCAGTGACACCGCTGTGCCGGCACAGGCCGGTCCTGTGTAGCCTTGGGAACCTCCCACAGCCCTCGTGGGGATTTGGGGCCTTTTCTTGCCCTGTTTGATGGATTTCTCCTCGCTGGGTTTTTGACAGGCTCGTCCGTCCCTTTTCCCGGGAGGACACGCTCGGAGCCGGCGCTTCCCGGCCGCGCGGGCCGGTA